ATTTTACCATGATCAAAATAATATAAAATCTCTTACCATTTATCCCATAAGCTCGTAAGCTTATTTTACCAAAATACTTACCATTTAAATTCCATAAGCTCGTAAGTTTATTTTTCCAATATACTTGCCATTATTCCGTAAGCTCATAAGCTTATTTGCATGGTTACCATTTATTAACCAATAAAACATAATCCATAGCCAATAGCCCAATATTAAACCTGAAGGACCTTGGGTATTCAAGTAATATTTGCATCGTAGTGCTACACATAAGGTCGTGCCCACCATATACACCGAAGTGTATTACACATAAGGTCGTGCCCACCATATACACCGAAGTGTATTATAAACCTGCAGCTGCTATACTCTATGGCATGCCAACTAAACCCTGTCCCTCAATGACTTATTTGGGCATATAGTCTACTTTATTCGATCCATCCATGGCAAAGTATATTATCAAATTTAACATTGGGCAGTTCATACCCGAAAATATTCATGGTAAAATATCATATTTTTCATGATCAATGCATTTTAATTTCATACTCTGACATATCAATGTCAATTTATAAAAAATGATATAAAATCATGCCGATATAAACAAGGTCGACTTATCGCAAGTCTTCCTTATGATGTATAAAACATCCATGTATAATTTCATGCATGTATTGCACTCACCTTGACACTTTATATCTTACAAAATATTTGTGCCTCACTATTGTCCACAATATACCCTTTTTATACTTGACTTGCTTCGATTGCAAATCAACCATGATCTGTATAAATCACAAATTTATAACAATACATATGTTAATATTGTATTAACATAAAATATCCCAAAATAATTCCATAGTATATTTGATACTCATTAACTATCAAAATACTTAATACTTAATAATTTCCTTTTAACATTGGAACCAACTTTTTCAATTTACACAAAATGGTCCTTCACCATTTTATCACTTAGAATTTCAATACAAAAATTCCAGTATTGAAATTATTATCAACCAAGTACACAAAGGAATAATTACAATAACACTCCCAACAATTTGAAATTTTTATTACAATCACCAAACTTTCTAAAATTTCCATATTCTGACAACTTGCACTACCTTTAAAGAATCAATATTCTGTACTAATATACACACTTTAATTCAATTCCGTTTATTCCGTTGAAAACTAGACTCGAATACGAATCTATCCATATAAAGAACTCCTTCTAATTCATCTTGTACAATTTATGATGAATTTTGAAAGTTGACCAACATAATATGTTTTGCAGAATCTGCTGTCCGATTTTTCTGACCTTTCCTTGGTTAAAAATTCATTTTTATTCACCTTGAAATTGATCCCCATTTATTTTAAACAAAACTAGATCGATATATAAACACAAATATATAAAAATAATCTCCAAATTATTTTTATATAATTTCTGGTGAATTTTCGAACCTACTGCCAAATTCAGAATCTAACTGTTTCTTTTAACTTCATCCCTAGGTTCTTCATCAATTTTCCAAAATTTATGAATTTATCCCCAAATTTTCAAAACTTACGAAATGGTCCCCAAATTTTTCTAAGGCATATAGAATACTTCCTTCATCATTTCCAACTATATAATTTTTCCATAATTTTTCTCACTCAAACCATTCATGGCCGAAATTTAAAGAAAAAGTTTTAGAAAGATTAATTAAAAATTTTGAGACTGGGATTTTTGATGTAACTACAACCATGCAACCAATGGTCGTATTTGGGTTCTATGGAACAAAAGCATTAGTTGTTCTGTCATTTCATGTTATGATCAGAGTGTTTCCATTAGATCAACCTTTGGGGGTAAGTCCTTTTGCATTACTGCAGTTTACGGTTTCGATGAAGGTAGTCTTCGAAAGCACCTATGGGATCAGCTAAGGCTTATGGAAAGTATAGTTGGAAATGAGCCATGGTTGATAGGTGGTGACTTTAATGTCACTCTCAATTCCTATGAAAGCTCTATTCCTGTTAATGCAGCTGCGAGAGGGGACATCTCCGATTTTCAAAATTGTGTGGATGTGTTAGGCCTCTCTAACCATCCTTTTATGGCCCCTTATTTACATGGTCTAACAAGCAGCAGAGTTCGTTTTTAGCCCGGAAGCTCGATCGTGTCCTTATCAATCGGTTTGGTTTGGTTCTTTTGTTGACTCGGAGGTTGAATTTCTAGCTCCTGGAGACTCTGACCACTGCCCTGCCTTTGCCTGGTATATAAGTCTGCACCATTCTCTAGACCGAAGCCCTTCAAGTTTTTTAATTTTTGGACTCTCCACCCTCGGTTTATGGATGTTGTTGAAGAATCTTGGCAGGTTCCTTCTTCAGGAAACCCAGCTCAGGTTCTATTTTTGAAGCTCAAGAGATTGAAGCGCTGTCTCAAAGACCTTAATAGATCTCATTTCAGTGACATTTCTGGTTTGGTCAAGGAAAAGAGGGAATAACTCCAAAATATTCAATTGGCCAATTTAGATCCTGGTGCCTCTGGCCAGGATGTTAGTTTGGAATTGGAGACTGAAAAAGAATTGAAAGCCCTTGAAAATGCTGAATTGCTCTTTTACAAACAGAAAACAAAGGTAAATTGGCTCAAGGAGGGTGACCCAGGAACCAAATTCTTCCATTCCATGGTGTCTAGTAGAAGGAAGAGTAACACCATTAGAATGCTTTATGATCAAAATGGAACCAGACTGGATACTTTCGAGGACATGGCTAATGAGGTGGTTAGGTTTTTTAAAAATCAGCTGGGTATGGCAGACTCATGTGTCATTGGTTCAAGTGTCAGCACCATTAGAAATCTTCTTGGTTATTCGCTCCCTTTGGAGGTTGCTGGTTTTCTCTGCAGTGAGGTCTCTGACTTGGAAATCAAGGATGCTATTTGGGGGCAAGGGAATGATAAATTCCCTGGCCCTGACGGCTACAACCCCTTTTTCTTCAAGGCTGCATGGTCAATTGTTGGTGAGGACTTCAAGAACACAATTATGTTTTGTTTCAATAAATCCTTTATTCTCTCTTCTTTTAATGCTACTGCTATAGTCCTTGTGCCTAAGATCCCTAATCCCAGTTCTATCACAGATTTTAGACCTATTTCGCTCTGCTCGATTATCTACAAGACAGTGACTAAAATCCTTGTTATTCGGTTATCTACTGTTTTCTCTGGCATGGTTTTATTTAATCAAACTGTTTTTATTAAGGGAAGGAATATAGTTGATAACACCCTTCTAGCTCAGGAGATTGTTAGGGGATATGCCAGGAAAAATAATTCCCCAAGATGTGCCCTGAAAATCGATTTACAAAAAGCGTTTGATTCTTTAAATTCGGAGTTTGTTGGCATTATTCTTTATTCTTTGGGGTTGCCAAAGAGATTTATAAATTGGATATGGGCATGCTTCACTAGCCCCAACTACTCAATCGTGCTTAATGGAAGTCTTGTGGGATACTTTAAGGGGGCTAGATGTGTTAGACAAGAAAATCCTCTTTCTCTCTATCTCTTTGTCCTAGCTATGAATGTCTTATCTAGCTTGTTGAACTTGGCTGCCATGAATAGGATTTTCCAGTTTCATCCTAGATGCAGGAAGATAAAACTTACTCACTTGTGCTTTGCTGACGACCTCCTCATATTCTGTAAGGGCATCATTGATTCTATTGTGGTGTGCAGTCTGTCCTCGATTTGTTCTATTCTTTATCTGGATTGAAACTGAATGCTAATAAATGTGAGTTGTTCACTGCTGGAATTTCCCCTGTTCAGTGTGATATTATTCAGGAGATTACGGGATTTAAGCAAGGGATCCTCCCCGTGAGATATCTTGGAGTTCCCCTCGTGACAAGGAAAATTTCAATAAATGGATGCCAAGGTTTAATTGACAAGATAAGAGCCAGGCTTAACACATGGGCTAACAGACATTTAAGTTTTGCTGGTAGATTGCAACTTGTTAGGTTTGTCATTTTCAGCATAGCAAATTATTGGTGTAGGCATGCGTTTCTTCCCCAAGCTGTAATTAAGAAAATTGAACAACTATGCTCCTGTTTTTTTCTGGAAAGGGGCTGACATGTCAGCTAGAGGTGCTCGAGTGAGTTGGAAACATGTTTGTTTAATGAAATCAGAAGGGGGTTTGGGTATCGTTGGCTTAGAAGACTGGAATAAGGCCTGTTAAGGGCTCTTGATCAGGAAATTATTGGCCAATGATGGATCTCTATGGGTGGCTTGGGTCCTCTCTTATGTGAATAAGAACATGGATTTTTGGCAAATGCGTGTCCCTGTTAACACCAGTTGGAGCTTTAAGAAAATCTTGGGAATGAGACCTGCTGTGTCTCAACTATTCGTTGGTTCTGTTGTTGATCTCAACACTCGGAAAATTTGGGAGGAGCTGCGTATTCCAAGCCCCAAGTTTGGTTCCCAGGTCGTACACCCAAGCAAAGCATCATCTTGTGGATGGCCATTTTAGATAGGCTTCCAACTCGTACTAGATTATCTCGATTAGGAGTGAATCTTGAAAATGTTAACTGCTTATTTTGTGGCTTGGTCACTGAGACTAGATGTCACCTGTTCTTTAGTTGCTGCTTTGCGAAGGGCTTATGGGGCAGAATTCTTTCTCTATGTGGCATTGTTCGCGACGTGAGCAACTGGGATGAGGAGTTTACTTGGGCTGTTCAGCTTCTTAGAGGGAAGTCCCTTATTGTTCAAGTGATGAAGCTTGCTTTTGCAAGTCATGTGTATTGTATTTGGAGGGAGCGAAACGCCAGACTGTTTGGAGGAAGGGGTCGAAGTGTGGGTGAGCTGCTGAATGACATCCAGGAGATCATTCAAGTTCGATTCCAAGGATGGTCCAACAGCAGGGCAGACACGAGGAATGTTGCCCTTTGCACGAGCTGGGGTATTTCGATTTAGCTTTCTTTCCATTGTTCTGTTCTATTTCTAGTTGTGTTATTTGTGTTTATGTAACGTTCTATTTGTAGCGGGTTTACCTGCTTTCTTGGATAATGAAATGGAATTATCCAAAATAAATAGAAAGGCAGTGATGAATTTGAACAAAAAAGGAGAGAAATACCCCGTTCGTAGCCTCCATTGGATGTTCATCATCAATGTGACAGCACAAGACAACAATATCGAAATACTCTGAACAAAAAGGGCATGAAAATTCCTGTCTTATATCATCTTCTCCATCTATTTCTTCAAACCCAATAAACACATCTGCATTTTGAACCCATTTACAAACATTAAATCATTTATAATTAAAGGAAAAAAATCTTCTTAAAAATCTAATATTCCGGTAACAAATTTAAATCAGGTTACTACCTTCTCCTTCATTTTCCACCATACACAGAGAAAAGAAGATAAAATATTTATGTATTTAACCGCAAAATGGAAATACAAAAAGAAGATGGGATATTTAAAGCTTACTGGATCGTGATTGAATAGCTGATTGGTGTCTCTTAGAAGCTGAAGAAAGACGAACAGCCCATGAATCGGCATCCATTTCTAAAACACCCTCTTTTTTTCCAATCCAAAGAGTAAAATATAATTTCAAGGAATTGAAACTTGAATTCTTTTTAGCTCTGATCTTGGGTTTTGATGTGAGTAAAGAGGAGGAAGCTAGTTGGGTATTTGGGTTTTGATGTCAGTAAGAAGGAAAGAGCCGTTTGTTTTGTTCCTCTCTGGGGTTGACTTTCATCGAAAAGAAAAAATTTCTAGCATAAAGTATTGATATTTTCTAGGATAAATTACAAATTTACACGCTTGACTTTACTCTTTATACAATTTCACTCACTGTATTTTTAGTTTTTCAATTTAATCACTAAATTTTAATATTATTTATGTTTTGGCCACTAAGCCGTTAAATAATTAAAGGTGTTATGAGATAATACACGACATCAAAACGACATCGTTTTGAAAAAAAACTAAATTTCTACCAAAACAACCGCATTTTGCATTGTGGGGTCTTTAGGAGTAGCACATTGCTGGTGCTTGTTTTGCTTTGGTTGTATTTTGTACTTGTTTGTTTGCAATATAATGACATATTCATCGGAAAAAAGTCATTTTGCATCTATATTAAAACCAATTTTCGCTTCTTTTTTTCATTTTCTTTCTTTTCTTATCTTCTTCTTGCTATTCCTCTTATTTTTTTCTCAACCGGATCAAATTTTAACTACCGTTTATCACGGCCGATCATCGCATCGGCTACCGTCAGTAGTAAAAAAATAAAATAGTAAAAAAATGAAAGTTTAAATGTTTTAAAAAAAATAAAAGAATAACGAACAAATATGAGTATATCGAAACTAAAGTAGTTAAAAACCCCGAAGAAATACTAGGAGAAGGGCTGTGATTAGATTCTGTTTGAAAAAAAACTCAAAGAAATACTACTTGAATAACAAAGAAACAAAAAATAGGTCGTATCCGTTATCATAATTCGAAAACCGCAAGAGGTGATATGGTTCATGGTCGTTCACACTCTGATATATGACCAACTGAAAACAAGAGAAACAAAAATGAGAGAACAATTTAAAGGGGGAAAAAGAGATTGCAAACAGAGTTTAAAGGAAAATGTTGAATGAAAACGATAGAGAAATGATGAATATGTGTAACGTTATCAATTTAAAGACATTTAATGATTCAGTTATCAAAACTTAATAAAAATGACAATGCAAGTAACCACAATTTAACATTTTTAAATTTGGTGAGCAAAAATATAAAAAATGAAACGTAAATGATCATTTCTATAATTTATCCTATTTTTTAAGGTCTTTACTTCTAGGAAAATTTTAATTTTCAATATCATTTCATATTAATTCTTAGGGTAAATTACATGAATAATTACTTTCATCTAAGTTTTGTACAATTTTTTTTATTGAATTAAAAAAATATAATATTTAGTCACTTTTGTTTTTATTTAATTAAGATACGGTCATTGAAGGGTTAACTGTTATTAGACTTTTAACATATTATTAATGTAACAGAATGAACACATAAAATTAAAAAGTATAAACTACATAAATGATTATTAATATTTGAGTAAATTTTATTTTTCACCTAAATTGTATCCTCTCGAATTGCATCAAACCCCAGGTGACATCCTCAGGACCAAAAGGTCATTCTTCCTGTGTTTACCCTCAGAAGGAGCTCGAGATGGTAACTTATTAGTTCTCCAAAAGTAATCTTATGGGTGAGGGTGGATTTGGACCTGTTTACAAAGTATTCATCGATGACATCTCAGACCTGGTTTGAAGGCTCAATCCGCTGCTGTGAAGATCCTTAATTTGGATGGTACACGGGCAAAGGGAACAGCTGTTGAGCTTTTATAAGTTACCATTTCAATGCTGTTCTTGGTGAATTTGTGTTGAATATAGTAAAATATGACTACTAATTCTGATATTCTTTTTTTTTCACAGGCTGAAGTAATTTTCTTGGGCCAATTAAAGCACCCCACCTGGTGAACTTAATTGGATATTGCTACGAGGATGAACACAGGCTTCTGGAATATGAATGCATGGACTGTGGTAGCTTGGAAAATCAACTATTTAAAAGTTAGTTTTGTTCTTCAACTTTTTTAACATTTGAATCAATATAATCCTGTTCTAGAACTGATAAACAGTATAATTCTTGTCTTTAATGCAGGATATGGTCCACCATTGTCTTGTCTAACGAGACTGAAAATTGTTGCCGGAACTGCAAAAAGCCTAGCTTTCCTCCATGAACAAGAGAAGCTAGTCATATATAGGGATTTCGAAAGATGAACTTTTGGTCCTAAGGATGGCACTTGGTGAAATTCAGTAGGAAAACTAAAATTTATTTAAATGTTAGTGATCATTTGTGTAATTATTATTTTTAATTTTATATATTTATTATAATACATTAACAATCCGTTAAAAGTTTAATAACAATTAACCCTCAATGACTATATCTTAATTAAATAAAAATAAAAGTGTTTGAATATTATGTTTTTTTTAATTTAATAAATAAGTGTATAAAACATAAATAAAAGCTATCAATCTTTTAATTTACTCAAATTCTTAATAAAACATCTATTTTTATTACGTAAAGTAAAATTACTTATACGAAATGTCATCTACTGCAGACAAAACGTCATGCCGGAAGAAGCGTCTTCCATAAGCATGACATTCGCATTAATAATTTGAGTGAAAGCGCTTTTTATATGAAGCGTGTTAAGTTCGATCGATCAATCGAAAATCATTAAGAGGGGTGAATTGATTTTTAAAAATCTTGGTATAAAAGATAAAAAATTGACACATGATTTATAATGGTTTGACTTTATCAATCAAAATCTACATCAACTACCTTAACTTCACATTAAAATTTTCTAACAAATTCATTAATTTGGTATTTGTTTTAAGGACAAAGAATAATATTACAATTCTCTAGTTTTTCAAAGTTTAAACTATAATTACTCATCTTTTACCAATGATAACTTTTATGTAAACAAGAAAATCTCAAGGTAGGTAGGTGTTTACAAAAATTAAACTAAGAAGAATGAATACAAAAGATATGCAATGAGCTCAAATATACTATGTACAATAAAAAAAAGGAAAATAAGAATGAAAGACATCTCTTGATAATTAAGTTTGGATAGGTATAATAACATTTTTCAAGTGTCCTTGAAGTGTTTTTATTGTGTTGAATGAGTTTCTAATCGTTTATGACCGTTAGAAATGAATTATAGCCTTTGGAAGCCTTTATTTCTGTCAATTTCTATTTTAATGTACAATGGTTTCAAAATGACTAGAATGAGTTTTCGAAACTCTTTTGAAAAATATATGATTGTTGGAACATAGGGTTTAGAAACCAAGCAAGGTGATTTAGAAATTAGATAATGGGTTTTGAAACCAAGCAATGGGGTTTCTAACGGACATAAATTTTGAAACTTTGAGCATTTTGCCTCAGAGGTTTCAAACCTTCATGGGGGTTTCGAAACCATGCTCTAAATATTCTAAAATTTATCATATTTTGTGTTTCAAAAATATTTTTAAGCATTAAAATAATTGAATAAGTATTTGAAAAAGTTTGGAAAAGTTAGAAAAAATTTAAAACATATTTTTCAAATTAATTTGGACTTTGAAATATTTTTAAATCATTTGAAAAAATTCAATTAAGTCCAAACACATTTTGCTATTTTTGTTATATCAAAATATAGTTTCAATAATCTCCCTTTTTATATAACAATGCCTTTTGAAAATAGTTTTTTTGGGTAAAAGCTACTCCATAGAAAAACATTTCTTGAAAAAGAGAAAATATTTGGAAATATTTTAAGCTCATCTTTCTTCTTTGAGAAATAGAATTTTTCAAATCCTCACTTCTCCCATTTTTCTTCTATAAAAAATAATTCAAACTTTACTAGTTCAAAATAATAATGGTGAGTAAGTTAAAAACAAAAATAAAATTTTAGCACAAAAATCATTTGAAAACTAAACTTCCCCTTAATAAAAGCATTTCATGAAAAGTTTTGGCTTAAAAACACTTAGGCACTTGGAAAAATATTTAATTTCAATAAAATAAGAAAACATGTTAGCAACACATGAAATTCAATAAATCCAAGACTATCATACTTTATGCAATATCAAGAAATATCTTAATAAATTGCATATGCACAAAACACTACATAATGTCATGCATTTGATATAGATATCAATTGTTAAAGAGATATCATTTGCAAGTAAGAACACATGCATGAACATTCAAAATGACAACAACAACAACAACAACAAAACCTTATTCTCATATGCAATGGGGTAAGGGGGAGGTAGGGTAGTAGGCTGCCCCCAACGCCAGGTTGAGAATCACTTTAAGCTTATGATATGAAGCTTGGTAATGTTTTAATTTTTTTTTTCAATTGATGTCATTTTGAATAAGGACATAACTTTTTTGAAAATAGTTTTTGATAAAAGCATAAATTAAGGTCAATGTATTTTGAAGAAATCATTAAAATATAAAAGTTTAATTTGACCAAAAATATTATGATGAACTAAAGTTGATAAAAACATTTAATTTTAAAACATGTCTATTATAATACAATTTCAACATACATGAGATAACATATGGCATAAACAATCATTCTTAAAATCTCATACTACTAAAAAACATCAAAATAGGCAACCAACATACAAAATTAATACAAGTTGATTTTATAGGTTACTCATCCTTCTTTTTGTGACTCGAGCATTTCAATATATTGGCATTTCACTTCATTGCTACAACACACCTATAATAGACATTTATTTGATTTTTGATACCCAAATTGCTTTGGGTCCTTGAAGGTTAGTTCCAATATCTCTAGTTCCCTTTGGAACCCATACTTGTCTAATTTTAAATTATTTTCTATATTTAATAGCACAATGTGAACATTTTGCCATCATTGAGCTATATGAACTATTTAAAATGATTTCTTTTGCTTAAACATTTAAGCTTAATTTTTAATTCAAGATTTTCTTTTTCAAAACTTTCAAGTTTGATTTTTGAAAACTCTAAATCTTATCTTAAAATTTCATTTTGATTTTGAAAATCCAATTTTTATTTCAAAAGAAAATCATTTTCAACTTTAAATTTGAAAATTAGTTTCTTATATTTG